TGGTCTCTGTCATGTCTATTCATTGAATGTATTTGCCAGTAATTCCTTTGGTTAAATAACGACCAGCACATCGTCACATTGAAGACAATCTTAAACAAGTGCCAGATTCCCCTAAGACTATTCAGGCCCGTATCTCCCGTTTTATTAGAAATTAATAAATGGGGGAGGGGGTCGGGGCCGAGGGGCAAGAGCCGGGAACCCTTTAGGGCCAAACGAACAAAGGGAGTCCGGGATCAACCGGAGCGAACCGGCCTCCGAGCGGGTCCCGCCGCCCGGGAAGGGGTGGGGGTGGGGTGGGGTGGGTGGGGGAGGGGCCAGGAACGCTCGCCGCCCCGCCCCCAAGCCAGGCCCGACGTCAGGCGCCGAGAAACCCGTCGGGCGCTACGTCACCCGCCTCCGACGCCTTCTCCCTGGGGGGCTATCAGGGGGCACCTCGCAGCTCGAAGGAAGACGGCGCGGGCAGGCGCTTAGTCCTGGCCCCCGAAAAGGCGACTCGAGGTACCTCTGTTACCGCGCCTGTCTCCCGCTTGGGCACTCCCTTGGCCCCCTCCACGATCCCCACTAGCGCCGAAGCAGCCTTACCCGGCAAGATCCGAGCCCGCAGCAAAGTTCACAAGCGGCGAAGGGTCCCAGCGAACCGGGTGCCGAAGAACCGAACGCGGAGTGACTGACGGTGGCGGCGGCAGCAGCAGCAGCGGCGGCGGCAGCGGCAGCGGCGGCAGCAGCGGCAGCACTAACAGCGCGCGGCTCCTCCTGGCGCCGGAACAGGAAGCGCCGAGCGCACCGCCCCCGCCCGCGCTCTCCCCTCCTCCCGGGGCCAGGCGGGACAGCGCGCGCGCCCCCCGCAGGCCTCCGGCGGCACTGCGGCCTGCTCGGCGGCGCAGCGCGGCCTGACACGGTAGTTCTTCCGGCTCGCCCCGCGTGGCTGTTTTCTTCTGGCGGGCGGAAGGCTCCCCGATTTTCCGGAAATTCCTGTAGTCAGTGACGTCCTGGGCACCCTGATGGAAACTGCTAACTTGTTTCCTGGAATGGTGTAAGGACTGATTTTTTGGATGTCCTAGGTTTAGAGGTTTTTACAGCCGGGTCTCGAAGCGGGCTGAGTGTGGACGCGGCCACCCGCCCTCGGGCCCAAACTGAGGAGCGCTAAAGGAACTGCACGGGGAAGGGGAGACGTTTGTAAATGGCTTCACAGTTGATACTGACTGGAAGTTGTCTATGCAGCCTTTCCCTGATCAGCGCCTCTTCCCTCCACGTGTCCGTCTTTGAGTAAACCTTTACGTACTCCAGGTCGGGTCTGAAGGATGATTGACACATTGCCCCAGCGCCAAGGAAGCTGCTAGCGAGTTATATAGATGCCATAATTACATAGCTGAAAATATATGTACATATAATATGTACGTATACGTAAAAACACGTTAAAAGTATGCAGAATCATTAAAACATTTAGCTTCTTTGTGTAGCCCGTTAGTGGGTCAATGGGCAGGGGCATCTTAACTAGAAATTTCCTGGGGCGCCTGGGTGGCTCAGTCACAAGCGTCTGACTTGTGCTGGGGTCATGATCTCGGGGTCCTAGTATCTACCCCTCACCCGGCTCCCTGTTCAGTGGGGAAGCCTGCTTCTCCCGCTCCCAATCCCCGGCTGTGTTCCTTCTCTCGCTCTGTCTCTGTCAAATATTTAAATTTTCTTTTTCTTTCTTAAACGAAGACTTATTCCTGGGTATGCTTCACCAGCACACACACGTCTTTTACTGAAAAACGTTGAGAAAGTGCAAATACCCAAGCCTGTTGAAGACATTCTCAGACAAGGAAAATGGTCTATGGAAAATGGTATCAGTGTGAAAGACTTACCTTGCCCTCAGGAGGCAGTGAATCCACAGTGCCTCGTGGAGGTATAAGGAAGACTGAGTCACCAGAAGTCAGTAAAATTATATGTAAAATTTTGGCATTTCTCTTCATTAGGTATTGTTTTAATTCTGATGTTATTTTTTTTAAAGATTTTATTTATTTATTTGACAGAGAGAAAGATCACAAGTAGGCAGAGAGGCAGGCAGAGAGAGAGAGAGGGGGAAGCAGGCTCCCTGCCGAGCAGAGAGCCCGATGCGGGGCTCGATCCCATGACCCTGGGATCATGACCCAAGCGGAAGGCAGAGGATTAACCCACTGAGCCACCCAGGCGCCCCTGATTTTTTTTTTTTTTTTTTTAAGATTTTATTTATTTATTTGACAGAGAGAGATCACAAGCAGGCAGAGAGGCAGGTAGAGAGAGAGGAGGAAGCAGGCTCCCTGCTGAGCAGAGAGCCCTATGCGGGGCTCTATCCCAGGACCCTGAGATCATGACCTGAGCCCAAGGCAGCGGCTTAACCCACTGAGCCACCCAGGCGCCCCCCTGATGTTATTTTTTAAAAATGTTTTGAGACCAAGAGAACACAAGCTGGGGGACCCGCAGAGGAAGAAGCAGGCTACCGCTAAGCAGAGACCCAGTCACGGAGCTTCATTCAGGACACTGGCATGACCTCAGCGGAAGCGCCCCTTAATTCTGAATTTATTACATTGTACTGAGGGCACCTGGGTGGCTCAGTGGGTTAAGCCTCTGCCTTTGGCTCAGGTCGTGATTTCAGGGTCCTGGGATCAAGCCCCGCATCGGGCTCTCTGCTCGGCTGGGAGCCTGCTTCACCTCTTCTCTCTCTGCCTGCCTCTCTGCCTACTTGTGATCTATTAAATAAACAAATAAAAAAATCTTAAAAAAAAAAAACGTACTGAAATACTGCCTTTCATTGCTGAGATTTTTGGTCAAAAAATTTTTGTGCCTAAGTTGAGTGCCTCACCCACCTCACTCTGGTCCTGGTCACTATCAGTGACTGACAACCTCGTTTTCCCGCCTATCAGCCAATAACAGCATACTGAGTGTTCTAGAGCTAGGCCATTCCTGTCCCATGCGGGTTCCCTCAGTCAACCTTTTCTTGAATACTAAATCCCCAACTAACTTCTTCACTCACAACTGCAGTGCAGTGTGAAGCCTACCATCATTTGTCTTTGCATTTCTTTCATGTGTGTCAGACTTGCAAAGTGATAGGAAGACATCCACACCTTCTTCCTTCATAGGTGTTTCCCCAATAAATCTCTTGCACATTTATTCACATCTTGGCATCTGCTTCTAGAAGACCCAAACTGACACACTAAAGACAGAAAGTGTATTTTAAATTAGAAAGTGTGTAATATAGATTTAAATTTTTTTTTCAGGTTCTTTTTTAGATTTGAGAAAGAGTGCGCTCACATGAAAGCAAAGGGGGGAGGACATGGGCAGAAGGAGAGGGAAAGACTCCCAAAGATTCTGTCTTTGGTGGGGCTCTTAGGACCCTGAGATCATGACCTGAGCTGAAACCAAGAGTCCAATGCTTAACTGAGCCACCCAGGCGCCCCAATTTTTTGTTTTTTTGAAGATTTTATTTATTTGACAGAGATTACAAGTAGGCAGAGAGGAAGGCAGAGAGAGAGAGGAAAGCAGACTCCCCGCTGAGCAGAGAGACCAATGCAGAACTTGATCCCAGGACCCCGAGACCATGATCTGAGCTGAAGGCAGAGGCTTAACCCACTGAGCCACTCAGGTGCCACCAATTTTTTGTTTCTAAGTTGAATGTGCAAAGCCAGGATATACAATGTATTTTGTTTTTAGAGAGAGAGCGTTTGCAGAGAAAGAGGAAGAGATAGAATCTTAAGCAGGCTCCATGCCCATCATGGAGCCCAAGGCGGGGCTTGATCTCACAATCCTGAGATCATGACATGAGCTGAAATCAAGAGTCAGATGCTTAACAAAATGAGTCACCCAGGCACCCCAGAATACACAATGTTTTAAAAACAAAATACAAAGCCTTTGGATTTTATATATGAAGTTTTAATTATGAAGAAGTGAAAATTTATTCAGATCAATTTATTTGAACTCACATCCAAGAAGAAACATTCAACTTCAGGATTAGAAATAAAAATGGGAACAGTTTACTTCTTTTTTGGTAAGGGGAGGATCATACAAGCCCAGCTGACAAGAGTACTAACAGCTTTGTAAAGTTACTAGTTAAACTCTGTCTATTCAAGTATATATCAAGTTCTTACTTGGTTTATACAGAATTGATTCAATCCTAGCAAAGTCAGGGTAATTTAAGTAAACCTCTTTGAGTTTTACTCTCTTAAGTCTGAAAGCTTAGATTTGATTATAACCAGAGCAAAAGTGCTTATCTTCACTTCCTGCAAATGTAATCAACTTTTAAAATAACAGGCAAACATCAATTTTACATAAACCTTATTAAGGGTAGGAGGAAACTGCAATTGTTCATTCAATTCGAGTCTAAACCACAAATCCAAATTGTACTGTTATCTCTATTGTCAGATCAAGCCAAGAAAGCCTATTACAGACTATAAGAAGTGAATGTGAACTTGCAGGATCCACTAAGGGGATACTCTGAAAATCTATCATCACGTTACTTTCAAGAAATTACAGAAATTATTTTCAAGTATGCTCCAAGGGTCACCTCTTAAATGAAGAATTAACCTTCAGGAAGTCAGGTGACAAGTATTATTTATCTACATTTTATACGCTACGAGATGAAGATATTTAGGATTGAGTAATCTATTCAGAATTAAACAAAAAATAGACTCCACTTTTATTTGAAATAGGATTAATGTACCCCAAGTCCCATTCCATTGGGTCATATCCATTAGTCTACACTTCTTAGAAGCCAATCCATTTAAAAAGTCACCTCCACTATGTCAAATATCTTAATATATTAGAATGGTATAGGCAGACTCTTGTAGCATTGCTCATTTCTACTAGGTCATTAAAAAAAGAAAAAAAAACTTTGTGCTTTCTGTTCATTCTCTAGAAATAAAAATAAATGTAAAACTGATTACAGTTAAAACCAAAATTGTAAAGATTTTTTTTCCAAAATAGAAACAGTCTGCTTGATTTAAAACCTTTCATTCATTTGGGTATTATTTAACACATAGGAGGTTTTTTTTTTTTTTTTTTTACATTTAAACATTGTTCTCCCTGTGTTGTCTCCAGAAATAGTTAAGTCTACTTTCCTGTGAAATTTACTCCACCAAAATCAATATATAACCTATTTGACTCATTATAAATAAAAGCAACAAAAAAGTTTTGAAATGAAAACTAAGTATATTTGTAAGAGTTAGGTTTCAAGGTTTTTTTTTCAAAGGAAAAAACTGCTCTATTATGTGGGTCTATAAAATGATCCAAACTTCAGAGAGACAGAGACAGGAAGCTGATAACTTGATTTGTCTTCTTAATGGCTTTGGCTCATGAATAAATGATAATGGCTTGTGTTTTTCTTATAAAAAGAAATGGAATTTCTATGAGTCCTATTGGCCACATTTACTCTACTTTTTAAAGGATTTCTAATTACTTAGACATTCTTTATATTATTTATAATAAGTCACAACTTTAACTGAAAGCCATTCTTTGACCATTAGCTGAAATTCAGGAAAGAACACAGTTCTGTTCACCAAATCAATAAATCAAACCACAGGCTGACTAAAAGCTTCCTTTAATCTTCTTCCTTTAAATTAAACCATTCTCTCTATGAATTATTTAAGTGAATGGCATAGCTACAGAAAGATCACATAGGATTTTTCATACAAAAATGCTAAAGGATCCTAAAAAAATCCATTCAGAATATTTTAGGAATTAGAATATGAATCAAGATGCTATAGCTTTAAAAAAAAAAAAAGATGCATGGTGGTGGTGGTGGGATTGTCCTGAAAAGCTTGAGAAATAGAAAAGTCAAGTTTATTTCCTGATTAGTGCAGGATGATTCCCAAAGCGCAGTTAAGTGTCTGGGCCAGACCAGCTATTAGCAGTTAAGTAGTTCCCTTTCACTATCAAGGCTCTTCCCTGAGGTGATGCCTAAATTCTTAATTTTAATATTTTATCTTGTTTCTTTTAGCTCCATCTTCTCTCACCAATAAGCTCTAGACATTTCCACCATGCTAATGCTTTCTCAACTCTTGGATTTACACTTTTCAAATGCCCACAAACCTAGAGTTACAAAATTTATATTTAGATATATTTGTATCTTTCCTTACGTTCCTTTCATGACTTAGTCACTTTTGTTTTATATATTCCAATAATTACATATTTTACATTTTTAAAATAAGTTTGTGAATACTGGATGCTCTTACAAATTTATCCTCACAAAGTAAGAGAAAGGTATTATCCTTTCTGAATTCCAATTCTTTAATGTTTTAAAAAATTAATTATTCTTTCCTTTTTCCTTCGTGGTAAACAATTCCCTTCTCAAGTCTTTATACTTGTACTTTCCATATTTCTTTTCACTCTAGCAAATACCAAAGGAAAAATACAAACCATTTCAGAGTAAATGAGTCTCTTCCCTGCTCTCATTTATTAGATCATTTACTTCAAGGATATATATATGGCAGTATTTTGAAAATGTTAACAGTTATTAATACCTTTAAGTTGAAAAAATAAGAAAGCCAAAGAAAATATATCACAAGCAACCAGTTTGAATATATGAAAAGCTACTCATATCTTGATTTTCATATAAACATTAATTTTTACCATTATAAAAGACAACATAATTATATTTCATTTTTTCTTTATAAAATTACTCTATAACAGAATATTTGTTAGGTAGTCATCCCTTAGGTTTTTCTGTACTGATAAAAAGTTATTTTTAAAAGAAAAATATTTAAAACAATAATTGTTTCACAGAAACAGAAAGTCTCATTATCAAATTCTGATAAAAAACTATAATCATGGGTAGAGTCTTACTACACTATTAGTGTTCTTTCACCAAAAATGGATATTTAGGAAGTGGTTTATTGGTAAATAAGACAAGCTTCTCAGTGATCTACAAAAAGTGTCACAATAAAGATGAGGTAGTATGAGACTTTTCTACTTTTGTAAAAGGGAAATATCATCTTTAGAAGAGATATTTATCCCGATATCGGTGTTAATGATATCCTGAGCCTCATTACTCCACAGACAGGTGCCATAATTAGTAGTTACCCTACCTGGAATAAGACAATCTTGAGATCACTGAGAAAAAAAAAATGCTAGAAAATGGTAAGAGATTTTCTTGGTTTAATTTTGTTGTAATTGCTAAAAATTTATTTTAAAGCTATTACTGAAAAATGCCATCTTTATGTTTACAACAGAACTGCATGAAAGGGAAATGCTACTTCAACAGAAAAGCAATGATACTTAAGAAATATCTGTTCTAACTTGGAAACTTGAGTCAAATTTCTTCCAATCCAGGTAGAAGCAGCTTCCTACCAGACCTAAATTAGCATCAAGAAATCAATTACTAGGAAAAAAAAATCAATTACTAGGATATTAAAAATGCCAATTTGTACAAAGGGCTAGACAGCTCACCAGAAGAAGTAACTGTCTAGGAAATTTATCACTCCATTTACCTTTATCATACTGGGATGACATTCCTAAAAATGCTTCTGTACTGGGATAGCAAATTTAAAATACTACTCCTAGTGCCTAGTGCTATTCAGTATGGTGTAAGCCATGTAGCTCTCAAAATGTTTTCCCTTTTTTGAAGCCCCAGTAAAGACATGTTAATTCTGAAGACAGGAATAATTATTTGAAACTTGAAAATCAAAACCAATATTAAGTTTCAGAAAACTGAGCTCCATGTTTTACTTCTTGAATCCTTAGTGAAGCTCACTTTAAAATAATGAAGACTACTTAGGTCCTCTTTGGTTACTGATGGAAATTTCTGGCTGTTTATAAAACCGTGGCATCTCCCCAAAATAACAGGCTCAGAGTTTCTATGAAAAGGCTAATCAGAAGAAACACTTCATAAGTAAATACAGAAAAACCCCATAGTTGCTTTAATATGTTAGTAACTACTATACTAATAGTGTTATTATTTTTAAAGCTTCCAGTGAGAAAGGAACAATATTTGTTCTGAAGATAGCAACTCATCTAGGTTGAGTGAAAGACCTATTCAAAAATAAATGACCATGCTACAGTGTAGAAAATAAATTCACTTCCAAAAAGTCATGTTCTCATTTGATTCTTCCTAATCAGATTAATCAAATTTAGTAATACTGCTTTATAGTTAGTATTTAAAATGAAAAGACTTCAAGTTTAATTTCAAACCATTTTGTTACCTTTAACATCCCTATTATTTATTATTAAGGTACAAGACTCAATTACATTGATATGGATTGTGAATTACAACACACTCAGGTTAACTAAAGAATTTTAAAACAACTCGGGAAAGGGGGATGAGGAAACTATATTTTATGTATAGGAATGCCAATGGCATAGGTTAACAAGGGAACATGTAGGAAAGGACATAAGCTTATTTTTAAAGGAAAGTATGAAATATAGATTACTTAATTGTATTTGCAATGCCTACCAAATTTCAAATATCCCTGGACCTTAAGCAAATTACAATTAAGAAAAAAAATTAAGTATACAATCTACCTGTAAAACCAAAAACCAAACACCTGGTCAAAAATATTCATTAACCCCTAGTGTGTAACTTTAAACAATTAGTTTATCATAAGAAAAATAAACTGATCTGGAAGTAAAATTTAGGGCAGAGATTTATTTTAGATTTCAACTGCCCTTGTAGAAAAATTCAAAGTGACATAAGAAAAATAAAATATTAAATGAAAATATGTATATAATCATTCCCATATTCCTACACATTCCCTAGCATTGTTCTGGTGCATCAATCCTGAGTACTCTAACTTTTGATTTATAGTGATATTCCTTCAGATATAATTTCATAGAAGAAGGAATTGGAAGGGCATCAATGCCATCGTAAGTTGTACAGTTACAAATAACTGTTCTGCATATATGCTGCAAGGAAAAGGGGAAAGTCCGAATTAAAGGAGTGGATAAAAGTGGTTCAAAGAACATACAGGCACTTGGGTCCTTATAATGTTCTAGGAGCCCAGTAATGTCAGGAGAATGGAAGACACAAGGATCATGTGCATCAAAGCTAAAGTTGTGATTCCATTGTTCAATTCTAGCATGAAGAGAACGACTATAGCGTCTAAAACTAACTGAGAATAAATAGTCTTCCTGTGCTGAGTCTCGAAGTAAAAAGGTACCCTCTGGTTTTCCCTCCAGTAGAGCTTCAGCTGCATATTTATCCATAACTCCCCAGTAACATGGATTGTTATTGATCTGCAGGAGGTCTGGTACAAGACAGTGGACATAATCAATCTGGGTATGGTACTTAGGAGGTGTTTCCAACTGCAGGATTTCTTCATCCATTTCCCATTTGGGTTTGTTTCTTTTCCTGGAACTTGTGCAAAGTGTAATAATTTCGTCATCCGAATCCATATCACTATCTTCTATACTGTTATTTGAAACCAGGTTCATCACAGAGCCAGTCATGGGACCACCTCTACATGAAGAAGCACTGTTAGTGGTTATGACACAGGGCTGAACATTGGTTTGTGAGAAGCAGTTTACCTCTTCTTCCACGTTTCTTCTTTGTTTTAGCTGACCATCCCTCAGTTCACTCTGAGACGAGTCTGTGCTTACCCATTCATTGGATTTGGGATTTATAGGAGCAGTGTGTCGTTTAATAAAGTGCCACCTAAAGGCTAAATCTGATCGAGGTGGGAAAGGACACTTATCTAACATGAGTTCACTGATATGAATTTTCCTTTTAGATGGAAGCCCCGAAGAGTGCCGACCACTACAATTCTTTATTGGAAAACACTGCCCCACGGCATCTTGCAGTTTCTGTTTAAGAGAGCGGCCTAAAAATCTATGCCCACAGGAATGATCTAAATCCAACTCGATAGATGAACAGCTGTGCTTCCTTTCTTGGCTCCTTAAAGGAACTTCAGTTTTCTCTACAGCATTCACTGTTTCAGCATCTGAACAACTTTCATTCTTTTTTGACCAAGATAATTTCTTTCCACTCCACACATAACCGTCCTTTCTGTCAGCACTTCTACTTCGACTAGTTTTGGGCCTCACATCTACATTTTTGCTAATACTGTCACTATTTTCTGCCATTTTAACAAATTATCCACAAATTCCAGTGTTATAAATACTGCTTTTTCAGTTTTTCCAGCAGGAAGTTTCTTCTGGGCACTCTCTGGATATATCTAAAGGAAAACAAAACAAAACAGCACTCATTTGTCATTCACTTCTTCTTCTTTTTTAAATTTTTTTTTGAGAGAGAGAGAGAGAGACCACAGGAGCAGGAGAGTGGGAGAGGGAGAGAGAGAATCCTAAGCAGGCTCCATGCTCAGGATAAGCAAGTGGGCAGGGGTGGGGTAGGGGTGAGGGGCAGAGAGAGGGGGAGAGAATCTCAAGCAGACTCCACACTGAGCACTGAGCCCAACATAGGGCTTGATCTCCTGACCATGAGATCATGACCTGAGCTGAAACCAAGAATCAGACAAAGTTTAACCAACTGAGCCACCCAGGCATCCAACTGTCATTTACTTCACATACAGTAGTTTCTATTTTAAGCCCCAATCAGATATAAGATGAAAAAGCATAACTAGTACATGAACAAGATAAGAGTACTGGATATGTTGGAAGACAGTTCCAAGATATTTTGTTTTCACTTAAATGATCTGCTCTTCCATATACTATAATTTCATAGTGCCCAGGAGTCAAGAATATACATTCTTCTCCTACAGTTAATTTTCAATGTAGGTTGGAAAAAGTGAGGCCGCCTCTTAGTCCAACTGTATGCTCAAAATGTGAACAATTTCTAGTCTTGAGGTATACCTTATGCCAATCTCTCCCCTTATTTTTATTTCACAGCAGACCAGTCAGTGAATTGATTACAAGAGGTAGAAATACATGAGTTGGTGTTTGAGAACCACTACCCTGTAGTTTCCCTCAACCTCCCTCTCCTTGCTTTGTTTCCTATTGATTGAAAATATAAACTTTAAGTTATAAAAGCTGTTGAGAATTAAATAATCACCACTGAACAACAGGAATGTCATGCAAGCATTCCCAATGCAGTTTTGTCAACTCATTTCAGTAACTGGTCAACTTCACTATCAGTCTAGGCAGTTTTTAGAAAATAAGGAATAGGATAAAAAAATCTGTTACTTTACACATACACCCTTGTATTTTTCTTGGTAATCTTGAGAAACAAGCAGATAAATTTCTATAGAGCAACGACTGTCTTATAAAATTGGCTACAGGGGCGCCTGGGTGGCTCAGTGGGCTAAAGCCTCTGCCTTCAGCTCAGGTCATGGTCCCGGGGTCCTGAGACTGAGCCCCACATTGGGCTCTCTGCTCAGCAGGGACCCTGCTTCCTCCCCTCCTCCCCGCCTGCCTCTCTGCCTACTTGTGATCTCTGTTAAGTAAATAAATAAAATCTTAAAAAAAAAAATAAAATAAAATTGGCTAGATATATTAGAATTAAACAATGTGAAGCACTGAGTTTTATTAAGACTAATAGTAATGATTGGTCATAGAGGGGATTAGCTTAACTATTCTTAGGTGGAATATTAAGTCCAGAATTGGGATTCTGTAATCCTAAATAAGGATTTTATAATCTCAAATATTTTGCAAATGAAATTTGAATTTGGAGACATTATAATTAAGTTTCTGATTATGTCAGAGGAACATCAGAATCCCACCAGTCACGTAAATGTTTAGAGCCACCTGAATGCATTTTCAAAGCAATAGGATTTTTCAAGCAAGCATCTGTAGTAGCAAATAAGACTGGCAAGTACTTAAAAGTGTGAACTAATGAATCAGACTTGCCAAATAAAATACTCCATTTCTGAACGCTGAATAGCACCTGGTGATTATACAGACTATTTTGTTTAGTGAGCTCACTAGTGTACACTCATTTAAAATCCATAGGGAAAGTATTTTTAAATCTAATTTTGGGGGATACATCATCATTTATTATACCAAAATTATATTCAACATTATGCTTTGGCTGTTTGTTGACTAAGTTCCACTGAACAAAAATAAACAAGAAGCAACAAAGTAAGCTGAAGAATATGAAGAGTCATTGATTAGAAGAGACACTTGTTATTAAGAGCTTATACTTAAACATATTTTTCTTTCTTTTTTTTTTTAAATGGATTTTTTTTTTTTAAATTTTATTTATTTATTTGACAGGCAGAGATCACAATTAGGCGAAGAGGCAGGCAGAGAGAGAGAGGGAGGAGGAAGCAGGCTCCCTGCTGAGCAGAGAGCCCGATACGGGGCTCGATCCCAGGACCCTGGGACTACGACCTGAGCCGAAGGCAGAGGCTTAACGCACTGAGCCACCCAGGCGCCCCTAAACATATTTTTCAAGATAAAAAAGTAATAAAGGAGCCCTAAGCAGACCTTTTTCATTAATACTACGTAGTTTCTACTTTTTTTATTCAGTTCTGAAAAATATGTAAGATCTGAAATGCCTGGTGATTTACTAAAAAAATACCCAAACAGCAGTTTATTAAACTCTATAAGCAACTTTACTCCACTGAATATAAACTCCCTCAACTTGCCTATTAGCTCTACCTTGTATCATTTCTTCTTTCACTTCTATTATCAAAGATAAGCTCCCTATCTCTGTTCTTGATGGCATTCCATCTTTATCAGGGCCTGCTTCAGTTTTTCTCTCTCAAGTTCTCTCTGCTGTCAGTAACAACCAAGTCTCCTATAAAATCCTTTAGTGATTCTAATGCTTCCTTTAGCTACTACACCTGCCGCTTCCCATTACTAAATTTGTTAGTGAATATTGTAACTTCATTTCCCCTCAAAATGAGAACAGCTTTTTGTTTTCTTTTTTTTTTTTTTTTTTTTTTAAGATTTTTTTTTTTTTTTTTTTTTTCAGTGAGAGAGAGAGGGAGAGAGCGAGCACAGGCAGACAGAATGGCAGGCAGAGGCAGAGGGAGAAGCAGGTTCCCTGACGAGCAAGGAGCCCGATGTGGGACTCGATCCCAGGACGCTGGGATCATGACCTGAGCCGAAGGCAGCTGCTCAACCAACTGAGCCACCCAGGCGTCCCACTTTTTGTTTTCTTCTGATTATAAAATAAGTAATTGTTTGGTTTGAAATGGCCAAGTGAAAATCTTTTTTGCTCTATCCTCTCAGAAGTCAACCTAAAACAAGGAAAAAATGAGAAAACACAAATCTTATCTTCAACAAGACTAGCAGATGTCTACAACTTGAATCACAAAATATAAGGACAGAAGATGAATGGAGGAGCAGTAAATAACTCAGCAGCTGAGAGCTAGGTAACACTAGGCACAGAGATGACATGGATGAGAAGCAAACCAACAGAGTAAGCAAAGTCCAGGACCCTGAGGCACCAGAGGATACAGAAGTGGGTGGAGAACAGGGTAGAAAATATGCATAAGTACAACTGGATCTCTCCATTTTTTACTCCTACACTTAGAGGAGATGGGATATTTATCATTTGGGGAAAAGGAACTAGTGAGGCCCAGAACTTTGGATATCAGACATAGAGGGCGGAGGGGAGATTTGGGACAAAAATCAGAATGAAAGCTCCTACTTCCTTTTTCCATCCAACACCCAAAACTCCAGCAGCCAGACTTATACCTCCTAATAGGGGACTAAAAGATTTGCAGAAGAAATAGAATGGCCAAAGAGAAAAGACCTCTAGATGCTGAGAGCTGGGACTCCACCAATAAAAAGCTTGGGGGAAGGTGCCTGGGTACCTCTGTTGGTGGAGCGATCCAAGAGTGGACTCTTGACTGTGGCTCGGGTCATGAGCTCAGGGTTGTGAGATCAAGCCCCTTGCCAGGCTCCATGCTCAGTGGGGAGTCTGCTCCAGATTCTCTTTCTCCCTCTTCCTATGCCCCTCCCCTGACGTATACTCTCTCTCTCTCTCTAAAAATAAATAAACGAATCAAAAAGAACAAAATAAAACAAATAAAACTGGAAGACCCATCCAAGCATGTAAAGAAGCTTGCCAGTCCACAAGCCCCACCTACTCACACACAGCTGTCGGGCAGCATTGTTGTGCTTCATTCACTCCACAGTATGAATGAATAGTCACAGGTCATCAGATTTTTGAGGAAAGCCTCTAACATGAACAACAATAGTTTTCGAGGCTAAAACTAAAAGCTTAGAGAAAACAATCACCACAAAAAGAGCAGAAAATAAAATTGATTTCTTCCAAATTAAGAGAAGATATCACACCTATGAATAAGTAAGAGGTGTCTGGGACAACCGGAGAATAAGAAAGTTTTGTAAATTAAAAATATGATTACAGAGATAAAATATTCAATAGTAAAGTTGGGAGAATAAATTGAGGAAATAACATGAAATAGGAAAAAATGGTTTATTAGACAGAAAAGGTAAAAAAACTTAGAGGATCACTATAGACATTTCACAGAAAATAACAAAATGAAGAAGGGAAACTATGTTAGAAAATTTCTCAGAACCAAAGGATATGTGCATCCATACTGATAGAGTCCACTGAGTACCCAGCACAATGGGGGAAAATGCACACCGAGCTATATTATTCTAAAATTTTAGAACCCTAGAGATAAAATGGAGACACTAAAGTTAAGAGGGTAGATGTCATGTTAAGTGTTCTTACCACAGTTAAATAAAGAAATAAGTAAGTCCACACCCCAAACTAGATAAAAATTAAAAAACAGTCTTCCTGGGGCGCCTGGGTGGGTCAGTGAGTTAAGCCTCTGCCTTTGGCTCAGGTCATGATCTCAGGGTCCTGGGATCGAGCCCCACATCAGGCTCTCTGTTCAGCAGGGAGCCTGCTTCCCCCTCTCTCTCTGCCTGCCTCTCTGCCTACCTGTGATCGCTCTCTCTCTCTGTCAAATAAATAAATAAAAACTTTAAAACAAAACAAAACAAAACAAATCTTCCTGAGGAAAAAAGGTCACAAAGGATTGTAAATAAATGGCATCTGGCTTCTCAATAGTAACACTGGAAGCCAGAGGCTAGTTTTGGAAGCTAGAAGCTACTTTCCAACTTTGAAGAGATAACCAGCCAAATTATCCATCAAATATGAGGATAAATTAAAGAAATTTTCAGATATGCAAAGCATTAACAATTTTACCTCATATTGGAAGATACAGTCTTCTAAAATTAGAATGTACACCCACAACAAAAGACATAACACAGGAAATAAAATTTAACACTAGAGAGA